CAGTCCATGCTGGATTTATCTGGGGCAGGTGCAAACCCAGCTCTGACACACTTGTGGTTAGGCACAGCCTGAAGAGAAGGTGCCTCCCAAATGCAGAGTGGGCCTCCTGGCCACCCACCAAGGAAAAAAGCCTGATGCAGTGGGAGAAGACTCTTATCTCTGAACATAACATCATCCGCTTCCAGGCAGCAGAGCTGTGATCTGAGCAGGTGATGACTCGTAATAACATCTCCTTTGAGAGCCATATCCCATCTCTGGATATCTCTTTCGTTGCCTTAGCAAGACTTGTTCTACCATAGCGGTGTGGGGGAGGGCTGGTGGAGAAGAGCCCCAGAAATTGTGATTAAGTATAAATAATAAATAATTAAATACTAGCAGTGACTATTTCATACACTTGCAGCTCTACCATCGCTCCTTGTGTAAAACTAACTAAATTAAGTGCCTTTTTACTTTGCCTGGAAACTCCAGGAAGTACTTTGAGATCACAAAGCAGATAATTATTGCTCTCTTCCTTATTCTTTGAGATAAGAAAGGCAATAGTATTCCTTTCCATGTGAGAGGTGGGAATCAGAACTGCGAATGCAGCCCAGACACAGGATTATGCTTGGCACTGTCAGTCTGTCCTTTCAGTGAAGGCTTATTCCTGGATCTTGGTCTTGTCTGCTTGTGGATGGCAATACATAAACACTGCAACAGGGACACACTAATCTATACCTAGAGCTCTGCTCCAGGACCTGTCCACCAGCAAGTTTGAAGAGGCAGCCCACCAGAAGATATAAGGACCACACCAGGAGATTCCAGCTCATGCTCCAGTTGATCATCTGGTCAGATCACTGGGAAATCTCTTGTACTATTGTGGGCAATAGAGCACCTGGGACTTCCACCAAACACCAAATGTAAATTATTTGGATCCCATTGTCCTCTGGAAAGGCTTTCTGCTTTGTCTTCCTTACCTATAAGAGGATGATGATTGTGAAACTGGTCTTAATGGTGACTTGATTTGCTCTCCAGCTACTAGGTGTTTATCTTAGAAGGTGCATTTTTATTTTTATTTTTTTATCAAATAACCTGGAGGTGGAACCAATTAGAGTTGTTTTGTAGTCTGTCCTCTGCAGATAAAATAAGAAAACTTTTTCCCAACTGTCTTTTGATTGCTTCTTTGTCATCTCTGGGGCTTCAGAAAAGTAAGTATTTTCCTTTTAAGGAATAATCAAGTAGACAAATTGGGCTTTATCAGTCACATCATATCAGTCCATATCAACTAGTTGATGTATATCCACTCCCTGTATTACAGCTCCATTCTCTGGAGAGCAGATTGCACCGACCGCCTGCCTTGGGAAATTCCCGTACCTGAAATCCAAGGGGAGTCATGATCACCACCCTTGTCTCTGTGCTGTAGTTGCTGTCTGCCTAGTGGATGCCCCCTCCCTGGAGGCATTCAGGGCCAGGTTGGATGGGGCCCTGGGCAGCCTGATCTAGTGGTTGGCAACCCTGTCCACAGCAGGGGGGTTAGAACAAGGGTGATCTTTAAGGTCCCTTCCAACCCAAACCATTCTGTGATTCTAGTGACCATCAGGGCTTTTCCTTTCCATGCTCCCAGTTAGTTACTGAGCATACAAACCACTTTTGTGGTTGAAAAGATGCACTATTGCTTGCTTGAGAGTAGAAGCTCTTGGAGGTGTTGAGAGCAAGGGCATCTCTCTGCTTTTTAGTGTCCTACTTCACGGGCCTTCAAAGTGAATGAGTACCACTGAGCATCATGTGTGTCACTTGTGTGCCATTACCAGACTACATCAGTGACACTCCACTGTTAGGCAGTCCAGTGGGCAACCTTACTTGAAAAAAATATTGCCAATGAGCTTGTTGACCACGTGTGAACTTTGGATGTAGTCCTTGCTGCACTTGATGTGGCTACCATAAGGAAAGGCAGGCCCAGAACTGGGCCACTTTGATTCCATTTGGGTCTCTGCATTGTGACTAGTTCTAGCTCTTCAGGGCTACAAACTGTAGGCTCTAGGGGCTTGGGTGAAGTCTTGAACTCTCTGAGCCTGAGCTGCTCTATTCTTGCACTTAATGACCTTTGATGTCATTTGCATTAAGGTTGCTTACAGGATGGTGTGCTCATCTAATGTGAATGAGGACTTTAGGACTTGTCTACTGAGTCAGGTAATTGGTCTATCCAAGCAGTTTCCTACCTCTGGTGAAGGACTGATACCCAGTGAGCTGGGAAAGTACAGAATTATACAAGGTAACCTGTGAACTGAACTGTGCTTCATATGTGGGTGAAGGAAGTTTCTTCCTGACCTCTTGAGATGATCAGTATATGCCTTGAAGCATAAGAGGCATTTACCCTTATACGAGCTTGCATAACTACAAATGTTATTGGCTAAATAATTACATAGCCTCTTGAAGAGAGACAAATCAGTTGCAGAATGTGACTCAGTGCCTTTTGTATCAGACTGTTCCAAGAAGTATAATAGTCTCTTAATTGAAGGCCTTATACCTTGATATTAAAATGCATTTCATTGGCATTGGTATCAAAGAAATGTTAATGCTCCTACTTCTAATCTTTCTTGAGACATAGCAAGTATAATTTTAATAAAAAACACTGTGCATGACCTTCTTATAATACCTATTTTAAAAAAAAAATGAGAAAAAAGCAATCTATTTTAAATGAATCCTCAAACATCATGTAGTCTGTGTGTTTAATACCAAAAACATTTTCTTGTGCTTCTGAGGCTGTTGCTATATTGATGTGTGACATTTAATTTTCAATAAAATTTTGCATCTTGGTTTATCTTGGGACTTTCCTTTGGCTAGATGGCTTTCTCTAGACCTTTTACATGTCTGCTCACGTGATGGAGTAGTTTAGTTGAAATGAGTATGGGTACAAAGAAAAATCCTTTTGTTTCCTGTTTTATTCACTTGAGCTTGATTCTTGTGAGTATTAATAAGATAAGAATGGAGTCCTTAAGCTATGTGTTAAAGTATGCATTTGTTTTCTATAATGTAGGGTGCTTTGGGTTGGCTTCTGTTTCCTTGCTTTAAAAACAAAAAAAATCCCCTAAGTATTTTGTAGTCTTCTAACTAGCTTTGGTAAGGTGTGTGTTAATTTCAGCTGAAGCTCAGTTAGGATAGGTGCCTGAACCTGTAAAGTAGAAAAATTTATTTTGGTCCTAAATCCAGAAGCCTCTTGGGTTAAGGGTGGTGTCAACTTGACTTGAATTTCGTGGCTGGCCTCAACTTTTATAATTGGTGAATTGAAACCTCAGACCTGAATCATCCCTTCACCCTGAAAAGTTGGGTCTGAACTTCATGGCTTGGTTTCACTTCCCCTTGGGAGTTGCTGCCATCGTTAATATTAATTTGTGAAGCTTCTTGTGCTTTCCACTTCCTTGAGTCTATGAAGTTTGCTGGATCTTGTCCTGCATCTTCACTGCCAAAGGACAGTTCACACCCTTCTGTACCTCTTGTAATTGTGTAATTAGGTAACATTTCTTCAGGGCCTTAGATACTCTAGCCTGTTAGCATAGATGTTTTCTCCACCCAACACTGCAAGCCTTAAAAGTGCAGGAAGCTGGAGACAATGTAATTGTACGAAACTCGACCTTGAGTGCTGAAGGTTTTAATAAATTATCTAGGAATAAGCCTTTTCTTTCCTTTGCACTTTGCTTATTTGAAGTAATAACTATTCTCTTTGCATAGAAGGAAAGCCAGTTCCCAGGAATTGGTGTAACCAGTTATACCCAGACAAACAAGTTTCCCAATGGGAAATAAGATGGGAATGTGCCCTTGCACATTCACCGCGAGGTCACCGTGATATGACTGAACGAGTGCCAGGCTCCATGGCAAGCGGGGTGACCTCTGCTCCGTCGGGCAAGCACAGCTTGTGAGGGTACGTGGTGTTTTGGAAGTGTGCCTGCTTCCCCAACGCCTCTGCCCAGTCTTGCAAATGTCCCTGGTGTCGGAGAAAGAAAAACCCGCTCTCTTGTGGCATGGCAAAGCTCTGCCAATTGCGCTGTTGGACCTGCTTTAATGATCATTTTCTGCATATCCCAAATAAGACCCCACTCCAGATGGGATGCCGCAACCGTAACTCGATCTGGGTACTGGGCCACTGTTCAGAAGCAGCCTGGGCTTTGCGCTCCGGATCGCTTACGAGGAGGGATTGCAGCTGGGACCCTCGGGGCTGGGCAGGGGGGAGCTCGCCAGCCAGCTTCTCCGATTCATGGATATGCTGGATGGAGTTTGGGGCTGTCTGGACTTGAGGGAGGCTAGTGCTGTTGTCGAGTGGTAGTAGGAATCTGATACTCTTAGCGAGCAGCCTGGGTGGTTTGGATACCAGGTTCTCCTTAACACTGGCAAAAGCTGTGTGTCTGTCTCAGGCAGCTCAGACCATCTCACCATACCCTGAGGTGTATGGAGTCTGTCCTGAGCAAAGAGCCTCTGGGTGTTATACGCACCTGTACACCTGATAACAACCTCGTTATATAAATAACTAGGAATTTTGGAGAAATCAAGGTGATAAGTGTGACTCAATCTGAAAATTGTTTCTGCAGTCAGGTGTTAGGGGTAGTTAGGATGGTTTGAGATGGCTTCCTCAGTTCTTGTTCTTACATAAAAGTCTTTGACCACAAGGGAAGCTTAACTTAAAAATACTTTTCTTGAGTTTTGGCAGCTGTTTGCTGGCTTTGCATACGTTCTTTTCAACTGAAAAACTTACGTAGAAACTCTTCCTTAAAGAAAAAATTTGAACCGAAAGTGAAGCTTCCCTTTGTGGGTATTTCACCATTTGTTTTTTAAATGCTCAGAATACCTGGGAAACTTCTTATTTCTCGTTGACTGTCTCTCCAACGATCTTTATCTGTGATGCTGCCATGGTGACAGCAATTTCACTATCAGTAACTCACCACTGCCACAAACAGGAAATGTAGCCCCTTGGATGCACACTCTTAACAACCAACTGCTGATTCCTGTCCTAACGTTTCCTTGGTTTGCAGGACCTCCATGCAGTCGCAGTCATCCTACGGCTCCAACTCTCCACCGCTCAGCAAAATGAACAGCATGAACAAGCTGCCCTCGGTCAGCCAGCTAATTAACCCCCAGCAGCGCAATGCCCTGACCCCAACCACCATCCCCGACGGCATGGGAACCAACAGTAAGAAACCCTCGTTCCTTCTTCTTCTGTTCCATGTGTGCTCCCTGCTAGCCTGGGCAAGGAGACTTGGCATCTCCAAGTGGCTAGTGTTAGGCTGGGGAGCCTGGAGTCATTGACTGGGAACCTGCAGAGCCAAATATTGCTCATTACGGTGCCATGGGGCAAGGCTTCAGCATCCTGCTCTGAGCCTCGCAGGGGTGAGCAGAGCTGCTGCTTTCTGCAGATCTGTCTGGCTGCACTGTCATCTGTCTTTCAAGACTTATTTCTTCTTCCTTTCCCAGCAGAGGAGATGAAAATGTTAGCAAACTTTTTTTCCCTGGGTTCAATTAAGACACTTCTTAGTTTCAAAGGAGATATCTGCACTTCACAGCTCTGTAACCTTCTTCCTCCTGGCTGCTGAAGAGTGCCCAGCAGCCCTGTAAATCCGAGATGACAGACGTGGTTCTGGGGACTGAGTTGTGTTCGTTGTTTTTTGGGGTGTTTTGGTTTGGGTTTTTTTTTTTTTCCTAATTTCAAAAGGGCTGGGCTCTTGCCCACACCTGTTGCTGATCCCCTTCGGGTGCTCTCAATGTCTCTGAAAACAAAGCTGTTTGGCTTCTGTATTGGGTTACTCCACTGGCTCTGTCCCACTCCTCTCCCGCGGCAGGGAAAGCCGAGCCGCCCACGGCTTGCTTAGGTTTCTACCGAGTCTGTTTGTCAGGGAAGGTGACACGGCAGTGGCAGCACTACCGACAGTTGCTCCAGTGAGGGGAGAGCTCCTGAAGGACTGTCTGTCATCTGGTCCTTCCGCAGTCATTGCAGCCCTGCCTGAAATTCCCCATGAGCTCACTCCACAGAGTGCTTTGCTTTAAAGCTGCTCCGGCTGCGGGTGCTGTCCTTTGGTGCTGTGCTGGGGGCAAAGCGGGGGTCCAGGGACACCTGGGTAACAATGTGCTCCTCCTTCTTCTCTCCTCTAGTTCCCATGATGGGCACCCACATGGCCATGACCGGCGACATGAATGGCCTCAGCCCCACGCAGGCGCTGCCTCCTCCCCTCTCCATGCCTTCAACATCCCACTGCACCCCCCCTCCTCCGTACCCCACAGACTGCAGCATCGTCAGGTGAGCGGGTGCAGGCTGCCCGGCGCACGGTTACCACCAGCCGGGAAAGCAGGT